GCGTTGGGACACTGTACTGCCAGGCGGATCTCCTCAACTGGGCGAAAGGAGGTGTAGAAGATGCGGTCGCCGTCTTCAAGATGCTCGTCGCCGTCGAGGTCTGGTGAGGGCTCCGGAGGGTCCGAAGCAGCTCCGAGCTCGTTGTCAGCATCATCTGGGCCAGCGATATCGATAGCGCAAACAGTGGGGAAGGCGCCCGCAAGTAGTCGTGATTTAAGGAGTCGGAGCCGGCGAACCTCGGCGCGTTCGGTCCGCTCTTCGTCACAGCAGGTAGAGCAGCTGCGGGGGCAGCGACTCATTTTCACCTCCTTTGTTTCCCAGTTGATCTCGGGGTTATGCTTTTTGAGCCAGGAGTATCCGAGTATCAGGTCCTGTTTCCCAAGGTGGGTTACAGCCAGCTGAACGTGTTCGGAGTGTCCGTTGTACCGTAGAACGAGGTCCGCGATTTGGCAAATAGACCCAGCATCATTGGGGGTGCCGTCGACGTTGTAGACCGGGATGGGTACTGAGAGATTTTGGACTGGCACATTATTCCGGTTGACATATTCTGTGTCGATAAAGTCCGAAGTAGCTCCGCAGTCGACCAGACCCGAGAGGGAGAGCTTGAGCGCGTTCGCAGTGGACTCAAGTTCAAGGGGGAGGTGCAGCGAGTTAACGCCAGGGGCGGCAGAGATGGTATAACTGCCAGGGAGCTTTTTCTCCCAGGCAAGTCGGCGAATCCGAACGGGGGGCTTCGGAGGGGGCAGAGGGTGCGTCTTTCGTTTCGGGCTCGTTGTAGGGCAAGGGAGTTGATTCATCATACAAACAAGTGAAACGATTTATGGACGCGAACGAGGGCACACCAGTCACTCGTCGGGGGGACAAAATCCTCTGCCGGAGCCTCCGAATGCGCCTCCGCTAAGGCCGCAGTATCGGACAACCGCGCAAGCAGCTCTCCCAGCATCTCATCGCCGAGTTGCTGGATTACCTCGTCGAGGATGTCCACATGGCGGACGTTGGCGGGGGAGCGGACAGTCCCGAGCCAAATGGTTGGGGTCGCCGCATCTGAAGCAGGCTCGACGAGGGGCACCCCGAGCCCTAGTACGATCCAGCTCCATAGGGACGGGAGCCGGAGGTACCGGGACGGGGGCGCGGGCCGCGGGTGGCACAGGCGGGGCCGCCGGGCGGATGGGGAACGGAGTTGCCGAACGAGTGATGGGGAAGGCGCCGCGCGGGGCTCCCGAAGCGGTCCGCGGGGTAGCCGTTCCCTTAATGAGCTTCGCTCGCACCAGGGCTTCATATTGTCGGAAAGCCCGAGTGCGCCAGCCCAGATAGTCACGGAGGTCTGGGGGGTCGTTCAAGAGGTGATGCCGTTGTTGATCAAGGGGTCAAGTCCGTGGCGGTACTTGGTTACCTTAACCAACGTGTCTTCGAAGCCAGCGAGGTCCATCAAGTCCTCGAAGTCGTCGGTATATCCGTAGACATCCCGCGTTCCCATGTGATAACCCCGCTTTCCAACTTAGCGAGCGCGAGGTCCTGTTCGTTCTCTTCGACGAACCAAGGCGAAACTCGGAGAGGAACTGGCTCCACCGAGGGAAGGGGAAGGGGTTTTTGCTCCCATGACGCTGCGCCCATTGCTGAGCAGGTCCCTCCGCCATATAGGACATGGCGTAGCGGACGGCCTTTTCTTCGCTCGGCTCTCCGTTAACTACGAAGGCCTCCGGGGCAAGCCGAGCGTAGGTTTTGACCACGTATAGGAAGGCGCGGCCGCGTTTGCGATCTCCGTTAAACGCAAAGGGGGGGTTTGGTCGTAAGACCAGTTTTGAGGCGACAGTAATGTCACCAAATAACGCATCCGCGTCGGGGCATTCGGAGATGCCAGGGGCGGTTCGGGAGCTGCCGGAGGTGGTGCGGCAGCGGAAGCCTGGGAAGCAAGGTGGGTGAGGATATTGGTGAGGTTGTCTAGTTTCGCCTCAAGTGCGTCCATGCGCGTCAGCGTCCGGAGCAGCTCCGGTAGACATAGCGGGCGTAAAGACGACAAGAGCAGAGGAGGAGGGGTCAAGTGGCAGGGGCGGTGACGAGGGGGGTACGGACTCGTACTCCGAGCCTGAGTCAGCACCAAACCTGGCAATCTTGACCGGTTAATCCCGTAGAGAGTTTCTTCTGCTGTAAGGGCAACCCTGGAGACTCCGACGAAAGCCTAGCAGGGGAGGATCCAAAGCGTGAATAAGACTACAGGAAATACACGGAGGGACCGACCTAGCAGGGGAGGATCCAAAGAGAAGAAACTCTAAGGGTCCGCCTGCTAGGGGCGCCAACTATATACTGGTCGTCCGTAACTGCCGACGTAGAGCGCAGAAGGCCTGAGCGGCGTCGCAGGCTCTGTCCCAAGGTGATCGTTGGGAGGGTCTTGACGGATCGGTGATTGTGCGGGCGAAGGAGGCCGTGGGACGATGGTCGGGGTGGGTCGGAGCGTCCGAGGGGGCGCCGGTCGGATGCGCCTCGGATGCGTTCGGAGGGTCCGAAGGAGGCCGAAGCGGGGGTTCCCCTGACAGTTACAACTCTGCATCGTGCTGCGTTTGCATGGCGAGATGCTCCAACCCAACTGGATCGTGATGCGATATTTGAAGAACATGGTGTCCGCTGGTCTGAGCTGTGGCGTCTCAAATACTGGGACCCAACTCAGATGGCCGTCATCGATTCAATGCATTGCATTCTCGAGGGCCTTGTCCACCATCATTGTCGTCGTGTCTTACGGATCGACGCCAAGAATGCAAAGCGGAAGGAAGTATTAGGTGCTGCATTCAGTCACGATTGGATTCCATACGACCCAGCAACCTGCCCTGTTGCTTATCAACTCCCTGCTCAGAAGGTCGATAAAGAGCTTCTCCACGTTCGGCGTATTCAAAGCAAACTCGAGGAGGCGCTCTTGGAGAAGCAACAAGAGCATCCCGATAGTAACGGTGATGTGATTCTTCCGGAGGCTCACAGCGCAGCCATTGCCCAGAGTTCAAAACAACTACGCAAAGGCCTCATGAGTGCCAATCTGCCTGCGCTCCGCTTCGTAGCGTACTCGCTGGGCCTAAACATGCGCAATGCCAACTCCAAGCAAGGCTGTTGTGACATTCTCATCCAGTGGGTGAGTAAATCATCTGTTTTCATTTGAATAATACTCAACTTTTTTAGCGTTACACCAAGCCACACACTGCCGATACATTCGTTCCCAAGTGTATTGATTTGGGGGATATTAAATTCATACAACAAGTCATTGCCAACACAAGCACACCCGCCTGGGTGGATTCAGTGCCGAAGTCATATGGAGAGAGCAATGCTGGAACAATCAAGGCTTCAGAATGGCGAATTCTATCCACAATCTACCTCCCTATTGCCCTGGCCAGGTCCTTCTTTGGGGCGACGAGCAAAAACAGCAAGCTCTCCTTGATCACACCATGGCACTCTTCACTGCTGTCATCCTTGTCTGTCGACATACGATGACACATGAACGAGCTGCCAAATATCGAGAGCTGCTCAAGTTTTGGGTTGATGGTCTACCAAAACTTCATCCCCATACGCAAGCTCATGCCCCACGACCCAACATCCATGTCGCATTCCATATATACGACTTCTTACTCCGTTTTGGACCTGTAGTGTCCTGGTGGACATTCCCCTTTGAACGTGTAATTGGATTTTTGCAGAAAATCAAGACCAATGACCATGTTGGAGGTCAGCTTGAAGCAACGCTTACCCAATCATTTTTTCGCGGTGCGAATCTCCGCCGTCGCCCTGATTGTCCGCGTGTTCTGCAGGAAATCAAAACCGTCTTTGAAGCGACTTTCCCATCCTACAATGCTCCCTTAGACTCTGCTCCACGAGCAGCTGATGGAGATTGTGCTCATTACACGCGCCATGGGGTTAATTTCTCCAGGGCTAATGTCCACTTAGGCAACAGTCTTGTTTTCTACTATCCGAACAACTCAAACACACCTATTCCAGGCAGTATTGAGAATATATTGTCTACCAATGGCAATGTGAGCTTGATAATCCGTCGACAGGCACCATTGGCCCCAGGTGGGCGGGATCTCTTTGCTCGGTACTATCCTTGGTTTCCAGCGCAAATGTACTCGTCTCAGATGCAGCGCTCAACTGACCGAGTACCAGTCGAAAATATCTTATCTCACTATGCTAGATATAATCTCCCGGATGGCCGTTGTGTAGTTCTTAATCTAGCTCGTACGTAGTAGGTAGTGGTAATAAATATAATCCCTCAGATGCCTGTTGGCCGAGTTTCGGCCGAGTGTCGGCCGACAACTAAACAATGCCCCGATACTCCGGATATCAGGGCCCATTTTTTTGGGCCCTGATATGTGTCATATAAGTAAATATTTTTTGGTTCTCGTTTTGGTGCAAAAACCGGTCTAAAAAAAGGGCGTTTGATATGCCCTAAAATGGGTGACAAAAACTGAGTCCGTTTTGGCTTGATTATGGAGGAAGAAAAGGGGGGCTTTTTTTGTGTCTAATCGGCTGCTGATCCGGTCGCCGTTTGTCGCGCCCATTTCTCATATAAGCAGGTAAATTTGGGACAAATTTTTTGGACTCAAATAGAGGCATAAAAAAAATTATATTTTTTGGTACATTGATTAGAGGCGTATAATCGATCGAAAGGGGCCCCGTTTATTCCGGAACTCCCGCAGTGCCTTGTCTGTCGAGCTGCTGACTAGTATGGTTTTAGATAAGCGGTCAGTCATTGTAGGGATTGAGCGGAACAGCAAGGCTGTTCCGGTTTGATGGGGGTATATAAAGCACGTAGCACTTGATGTACCCGAGGATTAGTTTTGCTACTTACAGAGTTCATTACTGTTCTCTTGTGCGCGACTCTGGTCTTCTTGTGGGCAAGACTACCGAGAACAACTCGGTCTCTAGCTCTACACTTTTTTGAACTCTCAACTCTGACAACACTACCCTTGGCGACGTCTCCGGCTTGATCACCCGCTCGACACCGTCAAGGTCAACCTCAAAAGAAAATGCGCATGCAAACTCGTTCTATGAACAAGGTACCTATTGCTTCCTCTAGCTCTGAGAGCGAGGAAAGCGTCGAGATGGATGCCCCGAGAGGCACCTCGACTGGGACTGGCAAAGGTGCGTCCGCCTCTGCCGTCTCCTCGCTGACTTCTTTGGCAGGAGAAGTTGGCTCCCGCTCCCGCGGTCAAGATGACGCGGGTGAGTCGGGAGGTCGCTCCCACGCAAACGTGGATGTCGACCGCGACGAGGGCATCGATAGCCTCGTCGAGGACCACTCCCGTGCAAACACGGATGTTGGTCACCGCTCCCGCTCTGCGGATGTCGGTAATATCTCCTCCAGCGTGCAAGACGACGCTGTCGAGCATGGCTCCCGCAACGACGCGGTTGAGGAGACATCGAGCATGGGCCCGCCCGCCTCCGTCTACGAGGACGGCTCGAATCGCGAGACTGACTTCCACCAGTCGTCTCCGGATCTTCTCGGGTTTGAATCCCCAAGAAGATTTTCACGCGCTCAAACCACGCGTTCGCCATCACCGAAGCTCAACCCAGCCCAGTTCTTTGGAGATTGGGTTCAGCTGGATCTGATGGATGCAGATGAACCCCTGGTTACAGGCTCGCGGGACTCCAAACCCATGATCTGGGCGGAGTCTACTGACGCTGACGGTTTGGGAGACATCCCGTTAGCGTGGATGAAAACAGAGCCGGTTTCACCAAAGCTCGCATGGACGCCACCTGTTTCGGATAGTATCAATATAGATTTTGATTCTTTTTGGTCTCGGATTGGACAGAATTTCACCGCTGAGCAGAAGGAAACTCTGATGCGACGCAGTGAGAAGATGAAAGATGTCAAGATGAAGCCAGCCGGGTCTGTCTCAGAGACCACTGGCCCACGCTCACCAAAGAAAGTGCCAGTCAATGACAATGGGCTGTTTACCGCTCGGGGATCTCAACCTTCCCGCACTGCCGTCAGTACCCCGCGTATTCCAGCAGCTGCGAAGGGCAAGGGAAGAGCACCGCAAGGGGAAACGGAACATGTCATTCGAATTGAGCACATTTCAGAGGATGAGCTAGAGGCAGATGAAGCACGTCTTCGACAAATTGAGGCAGATGCTTTGCTTGCTATGCGACTCCAGAATGAGCTGCCGCACATACCAGACTCTTTCCCTCCAGGACCAAGGTTTGAAAATACCCCGCGACAGGCCGGCACCTCGAAAGCTCATGCCGCTCAGGCAGAGGAACGGCAGATCCACCGTGACCGCATTCTGGCTGAGCAGCTCCACAATGCCGAGTTCGAGGAGGCGAAGCAAGCACGGCAAGCGAGACGCGGAACCGGCAACGTGCCCGAACAACCGGAGACCCAAACGCGAACTGTAAAGCGTGAGTCACGTGGACGTGAAGGCGATGACGCGAAGCAGAGAAAGTCGCAGAAGGCTCAAACGCACAGCCGCGATTTGCTCGAACATACGCCTAAGCCTTATCTGAAGGCAACAGATCAGTTCCCCGCCGACAGCATCCTGCACAAGGCTACCCATAGACGCCGACACGAGACACCGCCGTCGAGCTCGGATGATAGCGACTCGTCGAGTTCAAGCAGCGATATACCAAGCATATTCCGGGGGACATTTGGACCTGGGAGGAAGAAGCACCGCAAGAGGAAGTCAAAGAAGGTCTCTAAAAAGCCAAAGCGGGACCCGTCACCATCCGACTCCTCAAGCGGGAAAAGTTCTCGGTCCTCGTCTTCAAGATCTTGGGACTCCGACAGCTTCGACTCAGACTGGGAAGCATTTATTCCTCCCTCGGAAGCCGACTCAAATGCATCTGAGCGCACGAAACGCCAGAAGAAGCGTGACAAGCAGAACTATCTATGACGGTCCGTTCTGGACATAACCAAGAACATGCGATGATACCGTGTCGTTTAAGCAATGACGGATGATGCCAGCACTCATGATATCGGCTTTTCGTCAATTACCGGCACATCAATCACCGCATTCAAGATAAAGTGTGATCAAGCCAATTATGGCTTGTCAAATGGTGTCAAGGAACAGTGCTGGTCACCGACCAAAGGTGAGATATCATGACAAGAACTTGGTGTGCATATACAGCTACAGCTACAGCTACAGAAAGGCCGCGGTGGCTTTTGCGAGCGCGCTGGCTGCCCAACTTCCCCAATGGGCTCCTGCTTCGACAAGTGCGCCATCCACCATTGCATACATTCGGAGACTCACCTCGCTTCATACCTTGCTTCCACATTGTGTGAATCCCCACGCACGACTGCCCTGCTTGCCTGCATGGTTGGCCTCCTGGCGTTGTTGTTTCTTCAAGAAACGACAATCACGCGTTGGGCAAGGCGACTGTCACCACAGCTATCCGTCTATACCACCAACTTCTCGCAATACCCACAAGATATCGTCTTGTTAGATGGGGAGTCGGATGGTGCAGAGCCGATTAACGTGGCGGCGCTTTCGCGCATCCTCTTTCCCAGCGAAGCGGGCGCGGACGACCATTCCCTATTTGCGGAGAACGAGAGGATGCTAAGGGACTTTTCGACTGTGTAGAGCAGGGTAACTGTGGGCGGAATCAGACAAAGAGTGTGTGCCGGTACCGTTTTTTTGTGTCGGTTACTGTTACTCATATCGGAGCCGTCGTTATACTCTCTTCTGGACCATTCCGATGCCCGTTGTATGCTCCGACCTGAGACCACTGAATCACTTTTCCTTGCTTGGCGTCTTCGTCTTACGGGTAACCCCAAGTACCGTGACCATGCTTGGGGAATATTTCAGGCCATCGAACAGCATGCTAAACTGCCGGGCGGAGGTTACGCAACGGTGCTCGATGTGGATACAGTCTGTAGTATACATATTTCAAGTACTGCCACGAACGAGGAGTCCGCTTTCTGGGTGTTTGTTTGTAATAAGATTGTAATAAGATCGGCATAACCTCCGCTCCCGTTGCCCAAGTACCTCAGCCCATGCCAACGCCCGGCGGCGGCTCCCGCTTCGCGTCGTCATACATGCGGTCCTTCTGGTAAAGAGGCGGACCCATATACTCCTTCAGGTTCTCCGGAGTAATGAGGACATGGACCGTATTGGGAATAGAAAGAAGTTTGCGCTCTTGCGTCATCACTAGCGTTGGAGTCGTTTCGCTAGGAGCTTGTGGTTGGTCGGACCTCCACGTCGTGTTTAGGTGAGACAGCTGTAGTATTGCTATCGTTGTCAGACTCGCTCGGCGCGCCTTGTCGCCGTCGTCTGCTAAGACGTCGACCAGACGACTCCTTGGCTTGCGGTACAAGATACCGGCTCGCGGAGTTTCCCTCTGACACCTCAATCACCTCCAAACGGTCGAGGAGGGGGGGCTGTGATAGCGGAGAGGGTGTTGACGGTACAGACGAAAAGGATGGAGGAAAGGTCGAGGGGTATGTCCATGAGCGGTTTGAAAACGACGAAATAACTAAGACAGGAAATAAACGCACCAAGTAGTGGTCCAAAAAACACGTTCTTCTGCTCGGGGTCCAGCATTTCCAGCAGCGCACTCGCAGAGTCACCATTGATGCCCCTCCCAATCTTGTCGACCTCGTCAATGAGAACGAGTGGGTTAGACGTTCCGACGCATTTCAAGGGGTTTGGATAATTTTGCCAGGAAGCGCACTATGTTGTTCGTCAGCCTTAAGTTTAGTGTCCAACATATCACAGACTCAACGTGGGTCCTTCGGTGTCCCTTGATGTCTGCGATATCGCTCAAGCCGCTAACGCTCAGCTGAATCAGAAGAATTGTCGTCCCAACGCGCGCGCGATCGATTTGTCAATGGAGGTTTTGCTGACACCAGGCGGACCAGTAAGTAGAAGAATTTTGCCTTGGACTTTCGGGTGATTTGGAGCGGGCGTGGTAGTGTCTAAAGCTCATTATTTCCGAGTAATGGAGGTAAAAGACAATGACATACCGCCAGAAGACGTTGTAGTCGTTGACCCCAAAGTTCCTCATGACTTGCCAACAGCCAAAAGCTCGAGCATGCGGTCCTTGACAATCCGTAGTGGTCTGCGTCAAGAACTCCTTGGACATGCTTGAGCCGCGAGCGACAGGTTCTCTGGTGTATGCGAGCCCCAAGGAATCTACGTATTGCATCATTGGAAGCCATTGAGACCCACTCTAAACGAAAACATACCTGTTATCCAGTCCAAGTAGTTCCTCGTCGCATTCGCCTCGCTCGCGGCCGGCTCGACCACAAAGTCCCTGCAATGTTATCGCTCATGATGGCGCAAGACAAGTGGATTGAACGCCATCATGTCATGCGAACTTCCTTTAGACTTCCTTGTTCAGGTTGTTGGTGCGACTAGAACTTGCTTGCGCGATGAAACTAGGAGGACCTCGTTACATAAACTGGAATTGGTGGGTCGAAATATTTGTAGATGCAACTTGAACTTGAAGCTGGATACTTCCTGAATCATTTTTCACCATCCGAATCTTGTTGTTCGATGGCATACAGATGGAGAGCTGAAAACTGCCCGCACACTACTGCACATGCGTTGCATTTCTTGTCGCAGACCATTATTCGAGTTCAGGAACGAGAACAAATTCTCGTCACATCACATCTTCCTTCTACATTCCCCGTCATGTCTGTCAATCGAGAACCCAATGGTGGTGGAGGACGCTTCTTTGAAGTTGGATTTTGGGAGCCTGGTTTCTCCTGAGTCCTAGTGCGTGGTTCAATGTCTTTCTGCACGAAAAACTCATTTTGGTTGGAGATTGTTGCGTCATACTGACCATGACATTCCCCACTTCATACCCTTTCTTCGTCGCCAACGCATCTTCATCGGATCCAGACCCCCTTGCGCGGCCCGGTCGAAGGCGCACAATTCCTCTCCGCCAACCCATGCTATAGACTTTTTTTGCATGCGGGCTATACTCATGACCAATGTCCGCCCTCATGACCTGTCGCGAAGCCGACGCCAAGCGATAGGTATGTCCGCCCCCGCCAATCGTGGAGCTATATAAAGCTCACATCCTTTGCAGTTCTCGACGAGACAGCATACAACCACGAGTTCTCTTACTCGCGATTCTGGCCGCTGTCGGTTCATATGCGCAAAGCCCGGTTGTCGACCTGGGGTATGCACAGTACCGCGGTGCGGTGTCATCGGCCAACTTTGCACACTTTTTGGGCATTCGTTACGCCGCTGCACCGATAGGTCAGAATCAAATGTTTATGTCAACACCTAATAATCTTTTCAAAAGGTGACCTCCGCTTCCGGGGACCTCAACCACCTGTAAATATTTCCGGTGTTCAAGATGCCACAACCCAACCCAACCAATGCTTCCAAAGCTCAAGCGGATTGTCGCCAACCAATCCGCTGGCCACGAGGGCTGTTGTTGCTGACGAGGATTGTTTGTTTCTCAAGTGAGCGTCGTCTCGGATCTTTGAAGTTTCGCTAACACGGTCTCAAGTGTTTACTATCCCAGCGATACAGCTGGTTTACCTCCAAAAGATTTACCTGTTCTCGTTTGGATACATGGCGGAGTATATCATCTTCATTTTTCCCGACAAGCCACCAACCAATTTTTCAGGGCTACCTCGGCGGTCAAGCTAGTGCTTACAATGGCGACGACATTCTCAAACAGAGTAACCGCAACTTGGTTCTCGTCATCATTCAATATCGCTTGGGGGTATTTGGTGCGGGACAGCATTGGTTTTGGGTGCCTATTTTGACTGACGATTGTCAGGTTTCCTACCAGGATCTAAAGGAAAGCAGAATGGCGCCTTGAATGCTGGCCTTCGTATGTTTTTCACTCTTCTCTTGAAGTAGATGTCCCGTCCTGATATTGTTTTTCAGTTGACCAAGATGCAGCGCTCCGATGGGTCAATCGCCATGTATATCCCAACCTGCTCTTATATCTTGCTCTTATATGACGTAGATCACAAAATTCGGAGGAGACCCGGCCAAGGTTACTATATGGGGAGAGTCCGCCGGTCAGTTTTGAATTTGCTTCATAAATTGTGTTCACCAAGTTTCGCAGGCGCAGGCTCTGTACTGCAACAAGTTGTGGCCAACAACGGTCAGACTAAACCGCAGCTCTTCCGAGGAGCTATCACCAGTTCGACTTTCCTTCCCTCACAATACAAGTACAATGACCGGATTCCGGAGGTCCGTGAAGAATGTTGTTCGAATGAAACAAATAGCTCAACAAATTTCAGCTCATTTTCAGCCAAGTCGTCTCGCAACTAAAGTCAGTTGGATTTATCTTTATCTTGCTCCTTTCAATAGTACTCATATCCGTTCAGCTGCACTACTGTGTCTGTTATTATGGCTTGTCTCCGCGCTGCCGATGCAAACGCATTGGAAACCGTGAATAATAATCTCAATCATGGTGCTTTCTGGGGAACGTTCCTCCTTGTGCCAGTTATTGACGGGACATTCATCCGACAACGACCGACATTGTCTCTGGCTCAAGGGAAAGTCAACGGTGTGCGTCTCGGCTCCAAGGTTATCTTCCTTTCCTGACTTTTTACCCAGAAAGTGTTACTTTCCATCACCAATACCTTTGAAGGCGATGTTTTCGTTGATCAAAACTCGGCAGCAATTGCCAACGCAACCCAATATGCTCTCAATCTCTTCCCAGAAATCAAGCCAGCCCAAGCCGAAAAAGCTGGTCAGCTATATAGCGAGCTTGGGGCGCCAATTCTCCAGGAGAATGCAATTCAAGCAGAATGTGAGGGAAACACTCAGTCGTTGATTACTAACTAAAGCACGTTAGCTATCTTCATATGTCCCACCTATTACATGCTCAACGCATTCCGGGGCCGCTCTTACAAAGCCGAATTCGCAGTCCCGCGAGGCCAGCACGGTGCCGACGTCGCCTACTATTACCCCACACTTTC